TCTGTAGCGAAAGCCAAGAACAATGTGCTGGCACAAAGAGCAGCAAGTGATTAGCTTCTGAGATCATTCTTAGACATTCAATAAAAACAGGACGTTACTGTAAAGACATGACCAGGACGTCATATACATAGCCAACGTGAGCGACTGCACAGTCTGCTGTGATTTGAGGAAATGCACTATAAAGCTAACAGGAACACACTTTTATTGAGCCGTAGAAAGTGAAGTAGCTTTAATTTCCTACTTGGATGCCACTGCATACATTGTTTCCTCAAACACAATGAACCCAGGTGGTGCTGCTGTAAGTATGGCAAGATGAATGTGGAAACAAATGGACGTACACTTAGCCTTTCTACACAATCATGGCACTGTGTACACAGGAAATTAAACAGCAATTGAGGAAACACTATATGGGTCAAATCTCAATAAGCTGGACAGAAGTTAACCAGGTGGCTTAACTTTTGTCCAACAACGCAAAAAAAGTTCTCCAACTGTTCATTATTACAGGAAGACTTTACAAAAAAAGAAACAAACTAATCTTTAAAACACAGAACAGCAGAAGTACACATAAAATATTTGATCTGAATCTCAGCCATTACAAGCAGTTTCAAATTAGAAACTCCTTAATATATCTGATACATTAAACCCATTTAGAAATCATGGTACATCCAGTACATTCAATCTGAACCAATCACACGTGTGTCTGAAGGCAACCAGATATATTCTTACATACTCACTAGTAACTTTGTTAAGAACATCTGTACATCTATTCAGCCATGCAATTATCCAACAAGCCAATCAAAAGGCTGAATCACAATTCATAAAATCATGCCAATATGGGTCAAATGCGCCAGTTCATGCTAACAACAAAAAACAGACTGAAGAATAAAAAGACTTTGACCATGGCAAGGCTGTTGGTGCTGGATGCAGTGGTTTCAGTTTTTCAAAAACTGTTGATCTCCTGGAATCTCCACACACTCTTTACACAGAATTGTGAAAAAAAGACATTCAGTGAGTGTCAGTTCTGCAGTTCGAAACAGCTGATTCATGAGAGAAGTCAGTGGAGAATGGCTAAACTTCAAGCTGACAAGGAGGCTACAGTACCTGGAATAACAACACTTTACAGCAGTGGCAATCAAAAAGCATCACTGAATGCAAAACACATACAACCTTAAGGTAGATGGGCTACAACAGCAGAAGACTACATCAGGTTCCACTCCTCTCACCAAGAACTGAAATTTAAGGCTACACTGGGCACCAAAACTGGACAGATGGAAGCTTGTAAAAACACTGCCTGGCCTCTTGATTTCTTCTGAGACATGCTGATATTAGGGTCAGAATTTGGCATAAAGAGCACAAAACCATTGACCCAACCTGCCTTGTGTCAATAGTGTAAGCAGGTGATGGAGCTGTAAAGGTGTGGGAAATGTTTTCTTGGCACACACTAGGCCTCCTAGGCAAGCATCATTTGAATCCCAGAGCCTATTTAAGTACAAAGCACAAGTTATCTCAGTCTGGTTCTATGAACTTGACAATGAATTCAGTGCACTTCAGTGATAAAGTGCTAAATGCTAAAATAATAATTCCTGCTGTAATAATGATTAACTATTTTCTTAATTCCTAAACATTAAGATACCAACCAAACCAAAAATGTGTTTGGATCATGCAAGAACCACTTTTGATTCCCTTAAGAACCTTTCAGTGAATGTTTCTTTGCTCTGAAGGAGTATTTGCTCTTTCTGCTGTAATAAAATCTAGACAACAATAATATACTCTGTATACATGAAAATGACATGTGAGAGAGTTAAGTGTCTATTCAGCCTACAACCCTTCAGCCCTGCCTGTTCACGCTGGAGTTATAAGGAGTGTTTCAGCTGGACTGCTTTTTGAGTAAGACGCAATACAGGGCAGCCAATTAGAGCAGAGCTCATTTACATTTAGCATTCTTAATGGCACAGTGCCAAAAAAGCCTGTTTAATTTTAAAGGATAAAATGAGTTTGGAAAATGGTCATGTAAAAATGAAGCATGCCTGTGTTTAGTGCATAAACCTACACAAATATAATGAGTAGAAAAAAATTAAATCAGAAAAAAAGTGTAGAATATGGGCCCTTTGAAGTTCAAAGATCCTCCACATAACATAAAGATTCCACTCCAATTGAAAGTTTTTCCGAGAATCATGCATCCAAGCCAAGAACTATCTAGCAATCTCTACTTTTTCTAAGACAGTGTCTTCCACATTGTAACAAGACAATGTTAGACTGCTACATAACAATAGATATGATATGATCTTTTTACAGTTTTTTAGCACAGGTGTTGTATGTATCTGCATCTGCACTGTATACGACTGCTGTTTGAACTTTACATTGTGCATACATACAAGTATGATGTGTGGTGCTGCCCTGTCTGTAGTGAGTGGGCAGGCTGTCTCTCAGCACTATGGACATGCCATCCCATAATCAGGATGGCTATCACTGATGACACGCCTGACTGCTTACATTTCTGTATCTCAGCATTTCGTTTCTTAAATATGGCCATTTAAAGTGCGTCATCGCTCACTATTCATAGGATAATAAAATCCTGCTGAGTAGGTCACCTCTGCTCACTCAGAATCATTCAAACATGCATGTGTAACGCATAAACGCACGTGGCTACCCTTACAAAACGTTTCCCATAAACAGTAAGGGGACTGTGCAGAGGCTTTGTAAATGTCATGGTCTTATAGTGATTAATCTTTCATGCAGATAGGGCAAGACTCCTAATAGAGCCACGTCATTCATGTAGCAACCTGCCCAGTGTTGAATTAGCTCATAAAGTGTTCATTTACGTCCAGCTGGTCAGATCAAATGGCACAGAAACTTTATTGACTAACAGTAGTCTTTACATAACATGTCCCTTCTCCTTTGCAGCAACTGTTGCAAGGTTGAATAAGCTTCAGCAAATGCTGGAACGTTAATTTTAAATTTATCTGGTATGCATGAAAAGTGACAGTGTGACATGTCCTAGGATTTGTTTTATTATCATGAACAAGAGCTAATGTTAGCACAGTGGTAAATTTTTCTTTGTTGTTTCCAACCTATCTAGTTATGATAAGCGAGAAGTGTAGCCTTTTTAAAGGTACATACCCTATATTTTTCTTGTATTTGTATTTTTTCCCAGAAGGTCAGCTTATGATGTTTGTGTGGTTTTATGTGCCAAAAACTCATAATTCATTTTTACATGAGCGTTTTCCAATCTATCTTTATCCCTTAGAAATAAACATGTTTTGAATTGAAAAAGTCTGTTTTTGTAGCTTAATTTTCATATATGGACTGTATATCCAAACATTTGTGAGTGGCGCATGGATGGGTCAATTGTCTTAGTACTTCTATAGTTGAACATGCCCATTATCTCTTATGGAATAACAAATGCAGTACATGTGAATAACATTTATAGATTTGTAAAAGTTTCTTGCTCTTCATTTAATGCTGCAATTTCCTTCAGGATGAATAAAGTTCTTATCTATCTATCTACCTATCTGTCTATCTATCTATCTATCTATCGATCTCTATCTATCTAGCTGTACACTCTTGGACACGCTAAGCATGCATATACAATGTATGCATACCCCTACAAAGAGAAACATTAAGTCAAAAAGAAATCAGTTTACGCTGAAGAGATGGGGCTAGAGTGCTGTCACTGTGAGCAAAAGGTTCTCAGATAGAGATTCAGAGAGCTCCTTAAGCATTAGAGACAGTGGTATTAACATGTCCAAAGCCTTCATCATCAAATGCCCCACACTTGCGCTGTTTCTGGATATAACAGGGCTCTTTCCCAATGCTGCGGTAAGAAATAAAATGCTACTTACTTTCCTACACACTTAAAAATATAGGTTCCTAAATGGTTCTTGGCTTGGAGGTTCAGTTACAGGAAAAATCTGTAATTGGTAAAGAACTTTTAGATGATTTGAAGGTTCTTTAAACTTTAGAAAAGGTTCTTCACACTTATACATCCCATCTATGAAAATGGTTCTTAAATAGATGATCCATTTTAGGTATGCACCGATATGGGAATTGTAGCCTGATCCAATATTTTGCCTGTCCATATGTCCTGAATGCAGACATTTTAGTGTAGTAACCCACTTTCACCTGAACACGTTGATCTACTAGAATACAATATGTCATCAAATACCCATTTGAGACATCAACATATCAACACTGATATTTTTTAAGCAATTATCTGCAGATACTGCTATGATTCTGCTATCATCATGCTGGATTATGTTCCCTAATCCACTGAAAGGTTATCAAGGGAACCAAAAGTTGTTCGTCTGTGACAGTGCTTCCCAGCCCTGCTCCTGGAATACCCCCTGCCCTGCACATTTTAGTGTTTTCACTGCTCCCAACTAACCTGATCCAACAAAGCAATTAATAAGCAAGCCTCTCTAGAGTTTAAGCAGGATGTTTTAGAGCAAGAAAACACAAAAAGCTGCATAGCAGGGGGAACTCCAGGACCGGGGCTGGGAACCTGTGTTCTACAGCATTGCTCAGAATAAATCTTTTTGGCAGCTTTATTTTTAAGAGTGTAGCACAAACAGTGAGGGAAAGTGTCCCTCAACTAAACAACACAAGTGGTCTAAATTTAAGTCATCCTAAAACAAATACAGATGTTTCTGAAAAGCTCCATTGAGACTGATGGCAGTTAAATCTTGAACCTCACTGTTAGACAACATGGTCTGGTATATTATATTAAAACTGTTCTATCAGTACCAGTGTCCTTCCCTTAATGTAGCTTTTCTTAGTCCCCTGCACCAAAGCCCGGTACACTTTAATACGTTCTCTGCTCCAAAACACACATTTTACCTTCAAGAGGGGCTTGTTAATGAGCTGTTGAGTTGAGTCAGGTGTGCTGGGAGCAGGGACAGCACTGAAACCTGCAGTGCAGGGGCACTCCAGGACTGAGAAAGCACAGCTTTAATAGTTGCACAGGGTCTTAGTGAGTTAAAGACTTGGATAAGTGTGCATACTTTTGTTGTTTCCGGCGCAGCCAGCTCCAGCGCCTGCTTGTGCAGCTCGGCCGTGATCAGCTGGCATCTCTGGCACAGGCTGGCTCCGCTGCCCTCTGGGTTTGGCCTCTGGCCCCTCTGCAACTCCTCAGCCGAGTGAAGCCTCTTCCTGGGACTGAGCCCACCGCACTGCAGGGACTCATTACCAGCCGAGCCTTCGACAACCTGAAAGCAGCAGTTTCCAAGTGAGAAATGTCTTCAACATTAGAATGCAGCAGTACACAACCCAACTTGCACACATTTTAAGGTATCTCTTAAACTAAAGTGTGAATTCGTTTTTTTTTTTTTTCTGTTGTTAAAACATATATTAACATCTGCACCAATAGAGATGAACCACATACTCTGTAGTTTGTAAATTCTGATTCTGGCAAATTAAGCCAATTGGGAAAACATAGCAAGAAGCCTTTTTTGGGCATTTCACAGTCTAATATCACGATGAACAAGCTGTTAAGTCTTTTTACTGGGTAAATCATCTCAAGAAGAACGTTAATGGCCAAAGTTGCCATATTACAGCCTATGTAGAGCTTTTGGAAAACAAAATCCCATTTGAGCATCAATTTTGAGTACCTGAAACACACTGACACATCCAGCCATCTGCAACTCACTCACACTTCATGTCTTACCGTAAACCTCCTGTAGTCCATTTTTCGTCCTCGAGCAGAATGCCGACTTGCATACATGTTCCTTAGTCAAATTTCCCCTAAACTGCCAGTTTACTGCCAGTCATTAGAGAGATGGGTTCTTTTCTCTGCCTGCTCTACCATACCTTTATGGCCTCTGTTCTAAATATGTGCTCAAATGTGCTCAGTTTGCAGAGTTAGAACATGAGAGAAGTTGTCCTGCAGCTCTGCAGTTGGCACTGACACTGACATGGAATGAAGCCATGGCTTTAAAGTTGCTCGGGTGTTAAATTCGGGACACCGAGAGGCGGAGAACTACTTTTTGCTAAGCGTTCACTTTTTCCCCCCCGACTCTTGCTGCGACAAGCCACGCCCCCTAAACGGTGATTGGTTAGTACAAAGTAAGGTCTTTCTGCACTACCATTGGCTGGTAGTATTTAACACTAGGTAGTTCTAGTGCCTCACTGGCTCCTAGTTAATCACAGTGCGCAGTTACTTTGTTTGGTGAAACTGGTGAAATACTACCGTTCATTTAAATTTCTCTTTATTTTCTGGATTTCTAATTTGCAACAAATCACACAGAGCACAAAGACAGAAGATAAAACCCTGATGAAGTCTTACTCTGGCTGGTCATGCAGGCCCACGCTTGTGTGTAAAATGTACAGAGTGTACAGTTTGTGAATCCATAAAGCAGGATTTCTCACTTAACCAGATAACTTAAGCTTCTAATCAAGCCTGTCCAATAGGAGGAGAGGTAAGGGGCGGTCTTGTTAGGCAGCTCACACTTTAGGCTTAAGTTATCCTGCTGACTGAGAAACCCTGCAAAGCCCCGCCCCCCAACCCAAGGTCCAGTACCTGAATCTCAACACGCAAATCAATACGCAGAGCTAAGTCACACTGACCGCGCGGCTGCAGGACCTTGTCGGTCGCTGTTACTCTGGCGCCCCCGTACGACCAGACTCTGAAACTGTCCCAAACCCGGTCTAAGGTGCCTTTTCAGTTTCCTCTTGAACAAATGAAGACGTACTGACGGGATATTTACACTGTCAAACTTATATGTTGTTTTAACTTTAGAAAATAGGGTAGATTCAGGTAGCATGAGAGAGTCCTCTGGTCCCCTATAGGAAACTTTGAAAAATACGTTAATGGCCAAATTAACTATTTGCAACATTTCCTTTTGCTCATTTAGAAAATGTCCATTATTAACCAAATTCTTTGAAGTCCTGGTACTGTATCTTTCTTTCTCTCCATAATGCCTGAATCATCTGTAATCTGGATTGCCTTAAAATTTCCGTTCATTGAAACTAAGATAATGACAACAAAAGCACACTAGCCTACTACTACTACTACTATTGTTATTATTATTATTATTATTATTATTATTATTATTATTATTATTGTGATTATGTGATCGCAGGCATTTATCTAAGCTGACTCATTAGAACGAATTTAAATTTATGAGATCACAAAGTTTGCACTATGTCTGTTCAGTGAGGAGACTCCAGCTGAACAGAAGACAAGTTCTACGCTGTGTCTCATTGTGGAGATGCTTTGCATAAGTGTTAATCGTTTGCACAATCGAAAAGGTCGAAAGCATCGTACGTACACGGATGACTGAAACCTGTTCTAGTCCTGTAACAGCATTTCTCTTAAGCATCCCTCCTCTCAGCCTTCTTCTCCCCCCAAGCAGTGTCTCTTTTCAACCATGCTACACACTCTGTATAGTGTATTAACGTCTTGCGTAAGACAGATGCACACGATGCTGTTCACATATAACCAACTGCACACACTCACATACTCTGTGAACCTTATTGTACGCACATTTTATACTTGGTATGACTTCTAGTCGACTTATAACGTTATATATATATATATATATATATATATATATATATATATATATATATATATATATGTCCAAAGTTTGCAGACACCTGCTCAGTCAGCGTTTCTTCAGAAAATCAAGAGCTATGAGGATTTGATTGCATTCAGCCACAAGAGCATTAGTGAGGTCAGGTACTGATGTTGGATCGTTAGTTCTGGATCACAAACGCCGCTCCAACTCATCCCAAAGGTACTGGATGGAGCTCCATCACCTCCACCGCTCCACAGACCAGTGCTTTACCCCCTCTAGCTGACGCCCCTGTGCGGCTGCTCCAGAGCGTCCCACTCTACAGGCAGCGCTCCTGGCTTTAATTCGTTCAGAGCAGTGAAGCAGTGAAGCAGAGTGTAGTGGTGGAAGAACTTACATTAGAACCGGTTCCTACCTTCTGCTTCCTTTTCAGCAGGTGGCTCGTAAATCCAAATATTCCATCAGCATCTATAAGGCTCGCGCTAAGCTCCACAGGTGTTGGGTCTTTCTGTGCATCCTCGCGAGCCTGTGATGAGTCCTGTAAATCCATATGAAGCCGTTTCCTCTCTTGACCAGGGACTGACAGCTCTCTCATCGGCGCGTGGATTCTCGTTAAAGCGCAGATTCCAGCTCGCGCGCCTTCATCCTCTGCAGCCCACAGCCCACTGGGCTCACCTGCGCTCTGCACGACCCAAACGCAACTAAAGCACGCGGAGCCTGGTCCCTCCTCCTTCTTCTCCTTCTGCTCCTCCTCTACTTCGAGGGTCTTCAGTCCTTTCATTTCTTCTTCAGCCCCTCCTCTACCTCCACTTCAAAAAGCCCAAGTCCCTCCTCCTCCTTATAATAATAATAATAATAATAATAATAAATAATAATAATATTAACAATAATAATGGTATTTTTTTGTGCTGATGAAATGCATTTTATTTTATGTATGTGCAACTAATGTGCTCATTTGAATCAGCTGAATCCAAAGCACCACTTTCCCCTTTACCTTCACTTCAAGATGATCTGGTCTTCCCTCCTCCTCCATCTCCTCTTCCTTCTCCTTCTCCTCTTCTTTTTTCTCCCTTTCCTTCTTCTCCTTCTCCTCCTCTTCCTTCACCTTAATAAGTCCCAGTGTCTTTTTCCTCACCTCCTTCTTCTCATTTTCTTCTTTTCTTCATCCTTCTCCTCCTCCTTCTCCTCTTTCTTCTCCCTTTCCTTCTTTTCCTTCTCTTCCTTCACCTTAAGACATCACAGTGTCTTTTTCTTCATGTCCTCCTTCTCCTCTTCTCCCCCTCTTTATCCTTCTTCTTCATCTTCTCCTTCTCATTCAGTTTGGAATCTCCATCTCTTCCTCTCCCTTCTTCTCCTCCTTCTTCTCAGGACTCTCCAGTTCCAGCACTTACTCCTTCTCCTTCTTGTCGTCCTCCTCCTCCTTCTTCTCCCTGTCTTTCTTAACCGTAAAAAGCCTCAGTTTCTTTTCCTCCACCTCCTTCTACTCCTTTTCTTCTCATCCTTCCTCTTCACCTCCACCTCATTCAGTTTGAGAATCTCCAAGCCATCTTTTTCTCTCCCTTCTTTTCCTCCTTTTTCTCGAGAATCTCCACTCCCAGCACTTCTTTCTTCTCCTCCTTCTCCTCTTTCTTTTTCTCCCTCTCTTTCTTTCTTTTAAGAAGCCCCAGTTTCTTTTTCTCCACCTCTTTACTTCTTTACTTTCCTCCTCATTCAGTTTAAAGATCTCCAAGCCCTCTCCTTCTCTCTCTTTTCCTCCTCCTTCTTCTTGAGCATCACTAGGCCCTCCTCCTCCTATCGACCTTCTCTTCCTCTGTCTCCTCCTTCTTTTCCTCACACTCTTTCTTCATCTTAAGGAGCCCCAGTTTCTTTTCCTGCACCTCCATTGTCTCCTCTTCTTCTCCTCCTTATCCTTCTTCTTCACCTCCTCCTCCTTCTTCAGCTTGAGACTTGTCAGATCAAGCTTGTACCTGGGAAATGTTTGAATGAAAATATATGGTGTTGAATGCAGACCTGCAGTATTAAATGAATACCTGCCTTGTAGAACATCATGTTCAACTGGACACAGATGAACAGTGAATTTACTGAAGACTCATTGTATATCACTGTAATCTCTGCAATACCTTTTAAAAGCTTTAATTGCTGATATAATCTTAGTGAACTTGTTAACCAGTATCTATCAAGACCCCCAGCCATGAGATAACAGGGAAAAAATGGAGCCCACAGCGCAGCTCTTTTTGTCAGCAGAGAGCAAAGAAAACCCACAAGTCAGTCTGAGCACAAAGCCTAATTGAGTTGTTAGTCTATTATTCTTTCTGCAGTTTTTGGAGGTGAAATGCAGACATGAACCTCAGCCTCGCAGTAATAATCTTATCAGGGCCACACAGAGGCGCTCGTTTCAGATAAGCAGACCACAATACTGACCTCAGCAGAGTCGTTTATGTCAAGCCTCAGTGCTGCAGCCGTTCACTCGAGTTATATAGACCTGGATCTGTTCACTGAGGGTCTTTAAATGATCAGTGCTCACAAAACCAAACCAACAGAGCCCATTGTTAACTTATTTACCTTTTTATTTTGTATGAAATTCTTCTAGAAGACACATTTTTAGGGCATTCTTTTCTTTCAGTTTTGACTCTTTCTTTCTTTCTTTCTTTCTTTCTTTCTTTCTTTCTTTCTTTCTTTCTTTTCATTTGACCCTCTGATTGTCATTTTTTCTTTCTTTTTTCTTTCTTTCTGTCTGCCTGTCTGATTGTATGTCTTTGTTCGTTCTTTCTTTCTTTCTTTCTTTCTTTCTTTCTTTCTTTCTTTCAGTTTGACCCTCTGTCTTTCTTTCTTTCTTTCTTTCTTTCTTTCTTTCTTTCTTTCTTTCTTTCTTTCTTTCTCTCTCTCTTGCTCTCTCTCTCTCTCTCTCTCGTTCTCTCTTTTTTCTCTCTATCTCTTTCTCTCTCTCTCTCTCTCTCTCGTTCTCTTTCTCTTGTTCTCTCTTGCTCGCTCTCTCTCTCTCTCTCTCTCTCTCTCTCTCTCTCTCTCTCTCTCGCTCGCACTGGATTACTTACCTAGACATAATGGACCAGTGAAGAAATCTCATTTCACCTCTGGTGGCAGTGTCACTGATGCCTCATGGGAAATGTGGTCAACCAAATGCAATCCATTGGTCTAATAAGCTGACAATGTGCTGTCTGCTCATCATTAAGATATCTCTATCAGTACAAACAATAATCTCACTCAGTGCATTTTATGAGCACCTCCTATCTTTTCATCAGATTAAACTGGATCATCAAAAAAAACACACTAATCAGCTCTTCACTGTAATCAGTAGAAACTGTCTGTCAGTTTGAGGTGAGATTTATTTTGTGACAGATTATCAGAGTCCAGAGGTCAATCATTCTAATCCATTGTGAAGTGATTTGTAACTTGTCCCTTAGACACGAACGAGGCCTGTCCTGAATCCCTGTGGGACTCCCTCAGCTGTTTTCAGCATGTGTAATCTCACTGTGGACAGCTTGCCATTAATGAGGGCATGAGGACAGGGCATGTCCATTTCACAAAGGAATACTATGCATATTCCACGGCACTTAGGCCTGCTCTTAGATTTGCAGACTTTGTTACCTAAAATGTAATTTTTGAAGACATTTCAGTGCCGTCTATCTGACCTTTACTGAATGAAAGTTTCTGTGGACCAGGATACATACAATTTCATTAACTGTAATGTGCTCTGACTTGGATTTCTTTACAGTGTTGGTGATAGGAAACCAGGGGTCGCCATGACTACAGTGCAAATATAGCCACTTTATTTGCCACCCAAAACAGCCTACATGTTTCACATCAAACCACACAGAATGGCTTTATTTACATCTTACTGTTTTTATTATGCATAAATTTTGAAAACGTGGTGTAATTCCCCTTTTAAAGAAAACAAAGTTAATTTATTTAATTCATACATATTTTCAGTTTGTAAGTCAAACAGCCCTGTTGTTACTGTGAACACAGAGAAAAGGGCTCTGAGCAGAAGAGAGCAGAGAGGCCTCCTCCACTGAGCTGCCACACTGCTGCTCAGCTGACTGGCGGATACAAATGAAAAAACAATTGCTGGCAATCATGTGAGCCATAGTGCGTGTCAGTGGTGAGGCTCTCTGGATTTAAAACCCTCCCTGCCATCATTTGCAAGTCATGGAGCTTCACTGCCCCCTCAAAGCCTCTTGATTTATCCCTCAAACACTGGGGGGTCATGGTTAGTTTGTTCCTTGTTACGTGGTCCTCAAACTGCATTGATTTTTTTTTACCCCTGGATAAGCATGATGACCATAGTGGTTGACGTTTTGGCTTGATGGTTTATTTATTTATTTTTAAAGGTTGCTGAATTTTTACTGAACTTCAGACAATAGGCTACCTTAACAGAATGTAAAGTACAGCTCATCTGTTGGTCTGTTCACAACTATTAGACTATTATCTATGTATTTTGTGTACTCTGCGCCTCATTTATCTACCTCAGGCTCACTTGCAATTGCATATATAGAAATTTGTACAACTCTACATGCTGTGGCTTTTATTTAATAATCTGCATTACTGTTACAAAAACTGTACATTGGAAATGGTGCAATACAGGTGTATATGAATGTGTGTATATATGAGTCTAATGTGTATATATTTTTATCTACTTTTTATTTATTTTTGTATACAAGGGGGCCACGCACCCAAGATTTTCACTCACCTTTGCACCTGGGTAAATGTGATGTGACAATAAACGTGATTTAATGTGATTTATCTATTTATATATTACTTAATTTATTATTTATTATTTTTTCAGTGCATAACATTATTTACGTAGCCTTCCTGTTGTTACAAATGTTGCTAAAAGGCTGGCCTTCCTTTGTGTAAAGTAAGCTTAAATAGCCAAAATCAAAATCAAGAAATTGTAGAAGAAATAACAGAGTGGTGTTCAGATGACTTTCACCTGTCATTCAAAAGACGTTCACCTGGCGTGACACTTTTTTTTTTATGTGAGGCGCCTCCTCTCGCAGGAGCTCTTCTTATGGGGCAGGTTAACATAAGCGTTTCACTGACATTTCTCATCTATTTATTTATATATGTGAAAGACTTTGAAAATACAGTGAAAAGTACATTAGGCCATTTTCATACATTTATAGACGTGTTTTACAGGTGTTTCTTGTCAATATAGGGTAAACAGGTAGGTTTCAGGATATCTTTATGTGAAGTGTTTACAGCTCAGGTGTTGGAAAACAGCCAAAACTATCTTTTCCTCCATGCTTCATGCATCCTCTGCAGATACATGTATTGATTGGTTAGCTGTGGATGACGTAAGTCGCTCTTATGGGCGCTGAGCACAAAAGACTCAACCCTACCGGCAGACTTGGGTCCCGTCAATCATGTTTCATATTTTTGGATGAACTGCATCTGTAACTCTCTTAAACTGTAGTTATAAAACGATCAAATCTCAAAAGAAATCTCTTTATTTCAGCGTGTATCGTCGATTCTCGTACACTTGCCTCTAACCGTACTTAAGTTTTAATGAAGACTCAGCTCAGTTATACTCACTGACACTTGGCACAATCACACCATGTCGTATGTTAATGCAAATCTTAGCACCACTGTTACACGGTCTCTGAGATCTCAGTGGGATATGCAGCTCTGAGGGCCATTCTCAAAACTGAAAACCAGCTTCTAGAAGATCTGCATTCATCACATTTTACATGTTCATTCCTAACTCTTTTTTAAAGATGCTACAGAACGATTCATGTTGCTCATAACTGGATTTATGCTATATTAAAGAACGAACCGAGAAAATAAATACTTGTATGGCCCAGTGTAGATGCTTTCTAGATGCTTGTTTTGCATTTAACGTCCCGACGCCGTCGGAACAAAACTTTGTATCTCCAAAATTATAACTTTACAGGAGAAAGAAAAAAAACATACTTCACTTTTAATGTAAGTCAGTGGAACCAGACTTTTTTAAAGTAATTTTGGGCCGTTTCTTTTGGGCCTTTGAAATTTACACACAATGTAAAGGGCCAAAGGTATTTTCAAATTATGTCAAAAACTGAAAAACAACAAAAAAACAGAGATACGAGGTTTTGTTCCGACCGCACCGTTATATTCATTTAACCTAATCCTAACCTTAACCTCAAGCCAACACCTAAGCCTAACCCTGACTCTGGTTCTAAAACAAACCCTAATCAACAGCAGATGGTTAATCATTTCAACACAGTTACAATGAGATTCCAACATGTTGTGTGAAGCCCTTCCTCTGGAGTGTCTTTGAAATGAAACATTTTGATTCTAGTATCACTCAAACACAGGCACATTTCAGTACATAGTGTCTTATTTGCATATCTAAATGCATTTTTGCTAAACTTTAAATAAATACATAAATATTTACGATTATTAGTGTCAACTGGTAAAAATTCACTGTGATTTCTATTGTTTAAAAGTAATTTACTTTGTACACCTGTGAGCGGCCTAGAGCAGCGCTTTTCAGTCAAAGTGCGCGTGGCTCCCCAGACAGCACTGAAAAGCAGCGCGCCTAGGAGGGCCCGTCTGAACGCCCCCTAAGACCCTTCAGCAGTCCACCGCCTTCCTTCTTATTTGGACAGCTGTGATTAGGACCCTGGACAGCAACCAATTTACCTTAACCAGCTAAATTAAGAATAAAAAGAGAAAGCATACACTCGCAAAATATCAGATTTAGAGATCAGTTTATTTTTTTTTTTCCTTCATACAAG